CCCCCCCCCCCCCCCCCCCCCCACAAACAAAAAAAGTCAACTCCCCCCAATTTTGACCGGCCCGGCTTTGATTTTTTTTTTTTTTCCCCATCATGGGGGGCCGGGGCCGAGGCTGGGGTCCCGCCCATGGAATCCCCACCCTGATTGGGGGGACCCGTCTCACCTCGGCCGCGGCGGGCCTTTCTCGACCGTGACCGCGGCGGTCATGACCGCGGGCTCGCGGCCTTGAGGTCATGACCCCGCGGCCGCTTGGGATACATAGGTGTCCGCGTGCACGCCAGAAAAAGAAAGAAACACACACACAGACACCATCCCTGACAACCACAATACAAGTGAGGAAGTCATCTCTCTTCTCCCTGGGAGACACAGGGTTTAAACTTTAAAGGCCTGGGGTTCGTCAATTTGGCTGTTGCTATGGATCTATATCTTCCAGGCTGGGCTAAGAAGGTCCACCAAGGGTCCAACAGATTAATGGTCGATGAAAACGGTGATTCGATAATCTGGGCCGCGCCTGAGAAGGCGTGGCTATTGTAGCGTTCCTGCAACTGAGGGCATACTCACACTAGCACGTACTTCCGCAAATTTTACGTATGTGTTTATAACTTTATATGGCACCTGCGGGTCACACTGGTCACCCGTTTGTTGCCCAAAGCAGAAAAGACAGGGTCGCGACCTGGCCTTGAGATGCGGAAACACGTTGTCTGCAGTCAGACAGCACAATGCGCTTTTTTTTTTGTTTTGTTTTTGCTTCCAGAAAGCAGTAGAGGAAAAAGAAATACGATTTTGCGGGGACCTCTGGAGGTCCCCGTAAAATATGTAAGCCCGCTGCTGTCCAGGCCGCTGACATTTACGTGCCCTTTTGTGTGAACATGCAAAATACGTGCCTCTTGTGACCCGAAAAACTACATAAAATTTGCGATTTTGCGAAAATAGGTGGTGGTGTGAGTGTGCCCGGAAAAGGGACCTTTTCCCCTTTTGCGGCTTTTGCCTGAATTCTTTTTGAAAGCGCGGATACAAGAGAGGCCCTTGCCTTGGCCTGAGGATTTTCTGGAACAGAGGCTTAGCCTAGAGGTTTAGGGTTTAACAGAGTAGGTCAGAAAGAAGGCGGGCGGCTAAAGGGTTGCCAGAGCAGGCTAAAAAAATGTCTGTACGCATTAATTTGTTACAAAGTTAGCTAAGTTAAACTAGTAAGGAGACAGAGACTTCTCAGGGATGACCCTAGTTACTCCAGAGCTCCAGGAATAGCCGACAGCTAGAATAGCTCAGAGGAGTCGACAAAGAGTTAGTCTCAGTTAGATAGTTCTTTTGAGAACCAGGAGGACGGTGAGAAGAGTGTGGCGAGCCGCAGCTCGTAAGCCAAACTGGGGTCTTAGGTGGACATCATCACAGGTTTAGTGTCGACATCGACTCGACGATGGATTCAATATTGCTGTTGTTGTTTTTTTCGTGATTGTTCGCCAATTTCTTTGACTACGATATTCAAAATTTTTGGATTCATTTTTAAGATTGAGAACATAATTCTCAATTGACTACAAAAGTCTTGGTTTCGAAGATCGTTTCTGAGAAATTAAAGAAGCTGTACAAATAAACCATGCCATGGAGCAGTGACAGAAGTTCTGGTTTCTAGTGGTCGGAGAGGAACCCCTTCTGTCTTGAAGTGATCAGCTTGCAGCTCATGGGCAAAAGTGAACTCCCAAGTACAATCTGGCTGTATGCAGGAGAATGCGAAAGGCAACACAGTCTGAACAAAACTGTGACGTGTGAGAGAAAACAATCAGCGTTTTGATGCCAAGCTAAGTTAGCTAACCCAATACAACATTGCAATCATATTGACACAAAACAAAAAACAAAACAAAACGCAGAAAGTATCGTTGCTTACAACACTGTGACATTGTTGGACAGCAACTGAGCTGTTTTTTGCCTGGGCAGTGGGCAATAGAAAAACCTCGAGTGGCTGGTGCGTAGCCGAGAAGTCAAGTTGTCGCTATATCTGGGCCGGGTCGAGGACGTCGAAGCATGGTTAGTGGTGTAACCGAAAGGCAACCATTTCATTTGTCCTTCACCGTTCAAAATTCTGTTGCTTCACGTGTGTCTCTCTTCAACCAATCCATGAATGGCATGATGAATCTTTGGGGGGGAAAGCTGGGCTATTTTGCAGTGGGTGTTTCACAGAAAGGCACCCATTTTCCTTTCACCCTTCACATTTTCGTTGCTCGGACTTGCTCCATGTTTGAGTGTGTTCAGCTGCTGACCAACGAGTCGACTGATGAATCCTCCTTAATATGTACAAGTTATTGATGTTCTACACCTCTCAACCACAGAGCAATAGGGGAGACACAGAGAGTGAAGGTGAGGGAGAGGAAGGGAAACAACACGCTCAAAGGAAGTCATCACATGCCTCCTCTTTCTTCAATAGCGATTCCTATCGTAGTCTGCGACATGCACTTTCCCATTGAGGAGTGCTGTCCAGATGAGCGCATCGTATCGTGTCCTCAGGACTTCGTCAATGGAGGATTCAAATATTTGACCTATGTTACATTGCCTCGCATCTAGAACTCTCATGGTGGTGTTGGTGTCCAAACCTTCTCTAATCACTTCCCCACCGTCCGATCCGATCTCCGCATTACAGGAAATATCAAGAAAAATGAGCCCCGAGGAGTTTGACAACAAGAGATTCTTGAGTGGGAATGCGGAATGGGCGGAGAGCAGGTTGCTATTCAGCGACAACCTCTCCAGGCATTTGTTCTGGACAAGAGAATCAAATAGCTTGGAAGCCCCGTCGTCTGAGATGCGATTGAGAGCAAGGTTGAGCGAGAGCAGAGACGAGTTGGCGGGCAGCACCTTAGCAAGGGTTCTGGCGCCTTCGCTGTGAATGAAGTTGTCAAACAGGTTGAGGAAAGCCAGGGTGCTCCTTTGAGCGTCGAGGATCTTGGTCAAGGCCCTCATACCTCTTTCGGTGACATGGTTGTGCGACAGATCCAAGTGTGTGACAGTACGCTTCTCGTAAATCCCGGCGACAATGACTCGAACCTTGTCGTCATCGAGCAAGTTGTTGCTGAGATCAAGATGGGTGAGGCATTCTGCTCGCGTCAGCGCAGACGCGAGCGAGCGGCAATCCGACACCTTCATCCCGAACAAGGACCGATCGAAATCCATCCCCACGTTGGCCAATCCGTACGTCAAGGCCAACGAAGACAATTGCAAAGAACAAATATCAATCACAACAGAGAGGTCTAGATGAGAGGGCAACTGGTTGATGGTCAGACCATGGACAAAAGAGTAGGAAACTTTCAGCAACCTCTTCAGAGCGATCACATCCATCGATGTGGGATCGAAAGTTTCGAGAGCCGTCGATATGTTCTTCTCGAAGTAAAGTTGTTTCCACGAACCGCCGTGAACATGGAGGTCGCTATTCTTCCACCTTAGACAGGCTCGTTTTCTCCAATACATTTCTTCCGAGATCAGTCGACCTGCGAGTTCTAGTGGCAGGTCTGTCCGCATAAGCGATATGATCTTCTCGCTCTGCTTGAGATTCAAATTGCCAAGGTTAGGATACTGTTCGAAGTTCTCGGCCACGACACGCATGCAGAGCTCTTGCAAGGGTACGACAAACCACTGGACCCTTCCCTCCTTGGGGGTAGGGGCACGGGGGGGAGCCGGCTGGGAGAGAAAAGTCGAGAAAGCATCTGCGGTGGTGGAGTTGGGGTCGCGAATCCGCCACCCTTCCCAGGGGGTGTCTGAAAAAATGCCACCCTTGTTGTCCTGAGGGGCATTTTGCTCTTTCTCACCAGGCCCAACGGCCCCCTTTTCCGCCGTCGTTAAGACACCAGCAGCACCACTAGGAACGGAAGTGGTATCGGCAGAAGCTCCAGCAACAGCAAGAGGAGCACCAGGAGGAGGAGGAGGAAGAGGAGGAGGAGGAGGAGCAGGGGAAGAGAGGGGAGCATCTGTGCTCCCCACTTCAGTCTCTCCCTTAAGGGTTCCAGTCTGATCTACACTACCCCCCGACGGTCTGCCAGCCCCCCCTCCCTCTTTGGAGGTTCCTGCAGTTGACGGCAGCCCTGCATTCCCTCCTCCTCCTCCTCCTACTCCAATCTCTTCCCCCCTTGCAGAACCCCTGCTGGCCAGCAACTCGGGCCGCTGGTTAGAGGACGCCGACGATCCACTCAATCGTCTTGCTGTTGGCACGGTCGAATTGCCACCTGTGAGTGTCGCTGGTGTATTCCCGCCAGCTCCCGCCTGACCCCCTGCGGTTGTTGCGCCTGCTGCGGGACTGGGTACATCAGGCTTATCAGGAGCTGCAGCAGGAGCCGCAGCAGGTATAGGAGGAGCTAGAGGGGGGCGGGGGGTTCCACTGGCATTACTGCTAGTCGCCATGGTTGCTGCCGCCAAAGAGCTGTGAATAAGATGGAAGGTGAGGTGTGTCACTGTCACAGAAGGAGACTCTGTGCTCGGAGCATCAGTGACTTCATGGACTCACTGTTATCAAGGAGGACTGTTGAAAACCCCCTTAAAGTTTTTGCTTCATCACTGTCCTTTCCCGGTTCATCAGAGTACTATCCTCCCATTCCCAGTTCACCTTCTTTTGAGAACCTGAAGCTCAGCACTTCCAATGGCAGTCATTAACTTCAGATCTTCTCCTTTTTCATTAAACTAACGTCAAACGTTGCGGCATTTCAGCTGCCGTCAAAAGACTCCGATGTAGTGCCATCACTGCCGTGATAAACCTCCTACTTGCTCTAACAATACACCTCTCAAGCCATTTCGCAGGGTGTCAGTGTGGTACTTCACAAGTTGCGCGGCTTTGTGCGGCTTTGCGCCCTGAAGCTCTCCTCTCTCTTATCCGACAACAGTTACTCTCAAGACTCAAGTCATTCACACACTCTGAGTCAGACGGTGATTCGAACAAGAGTCATGCTGAACAGGGTCCAAGGGTCGTCTTTCCTCGCCGATTGTTCCCAGCCCGGGACAGTGGCAATCATTTTTTAAGGTCAGACTCTGTAAATTACTAAATAGCAAACAATGACTGACGGATCTACTATACCAGCACTGGTGGTCCCCACCACAACTGCTGGTCCTAGTGCTGATGCTGTCGCCAACAACACTGACTGTTGTTTTTACCAGCAAATAATTGAAATAAATTCATTTTTCGCACAATGCCATTGCCATGCAGGTCCCCTACCACATACACTATTCGGATACACTATTGGGATGGGATGGACAACATGCATCGGAGAATGTGCAGCGGACGGGCAATCTCCGCAAACAATCTCTCTGCTTTGCAGCCCGGAAACAACCTCTCTCTCTCTCTCTCTCTCTCTCTCTCTCTCTCTCTCTCTCTCTCTCTCTCTCTCTCTCTCTCTCTCTCT